TTTTTTTTTTTTTTTTTTTTTTTTTTTTTTTTTTTTTTTTTTTTTTTTTTTTTTTTTTTTTTTTTTGAACTTCAATATTATTAATATGAAAAAAAAAAATACATAAAGTATTATAAAGAATGGAAGATAATTTAAGTAATGTTTTTAAAAAAGATGAAATACCTGCAAAATGTAAGAAACCAAATATATTAATTTATATAGAAAATTATATAAAGTTTAATAATTAAAATTAGATCACATTAAGAATTTAATACTTACATATAAAAATACACACTTTTTAATAGCCATTGAAGGATGGATAATCATAATAACGAATATTCACGGTGAAGCAAGAGATGATTATATAAGAGAAGTTTTTGAAAAATTTGGGCAGATAAAAAACTTACATTTAAATTTAGATAGACGAACAGGTTTTTTAAAGGGATATGCATTTCTTGAATACGAAAATTTTGTTGATGCTAAAAGGGCAATTGATGGTAAATATCTTTATAATTCTTTTTTTTTTTTCTACATATAAATTACACATATTTATTTTACAATACTATTTATAAAAATAAAAAAAAATCAAATTCATTTATGATATTTATTATTGTATATTTTTTTCAATTTTATTTTCAGTATATAGAACAATTTTTTTTTTTTTTTTTATCATTTATTTTTATTATATTAATTTAATGTAAATTTTAACTAGTTTTCATTTTATTCATATTCATTATCTTTTTTTTTTTTTAATGTTTCAGAAATGGACGGTTCAATTCTGTTAAATCAGGAAATTCATGTAGACTGGGCATTTGTACAAGAAAAAAGTAAAAATTAATTTTTTCTTTTCTTTTTTTTTTTTTTTTTTTAAAACTAGTTAATATAAAACTATTGTTCAGTGAAATTTCCTTTTTTTTTTAAATTAACACAATTAAAGCAACTCATATGCACTTTTAAAAAATATATTCATATGTAACATTTATATATATATATATATATATATATATATATATAGGATTTATTTTTCATCTTTTCAAATATAAATTAAAAGAAAAAAATAGGTTATTTTTCTCTTAATGATTATATATTTGTTAATTTAAGTAATTTTTATTTTTTAAGCAACTTAACTATTTTATCATTGAATGTTTACAATGTATATTTCAATTTTATATGTCAATGACTATTTAATTTTATAATAAAACACATAAAAAATATTGTAATTAAAAAAAAAAAAAAATATACATATATATATATGTATATATATACATAATTTTTGTTAAAAATAGTAGTGAAATGTTTAGTTATGAAATTATTAAGTTAATTAATAGTATAATACAAGATATATATATACATATATAATATCTTTGAATAGTAAAAAAATAAAACAATACAAAAAATACTGCTAAAAAAAAACAAAAAAAAAAAATTAAGATACTGCTTTTTTTTTTAGTAAAGATGATATAGCTATTGCAAATGCTTCAAAAGTTGATAAGGGATGACGAAAATCTAAAGTAAAATAATCTTTAGAATTTTTTCCAAATATTAAAAATATTTCTTCTTCGTCTTTATTTATAATCTCAATTTTTTCTTCCTTTTCCTTTAAAGTATTTTTTATAATATCAAAAGAAAATTTTTTACCACTTTTTTTTTCATTTCTATTTGCTTCTTTATTTTGAAGTATTTGGTAATTCTTCTTATATACAACACTATCATCATATTCTTCTGAATCATCATTTTCATAATTTTTTTGATTATTTTTGTTAGTCATATATTCAATAACATCATTTATACTTTTATTTAAAAATATTCTTTTTTTCGGTTCACGTATAACACATTTTTTTAAAATTAATTGTAAATTTTTTGCACTAGCTAATTTAACCCTACCATAAAAAGGTAGCTCGTAAATTTCTTTTTCTTCATTCCATATAGGACATTTATTTTCATAAATAAATTTTATATTTTTGTTTTCTTTATATATATTACATATAAAATGTCTAGGTAATTCACTTATTATATTTGATTCAAAAGTTATTGTTATTACATTATTTCTCTCAAAATTTGGAAAAAAATTAGAGAATTTTTCTGATATTCCGTTATCATATATTTTAATTTCCATACCAGTAAAATTACATATTAATACACCTAAAAAACCTGATATATTAAAAAATGTTTTTAATGTTTTATATTTTTTTTTAATTTTTTTATCATACTTATATATATATACTTTATTTTCTCCTCTCTTTTTAAAACCCATTAATATTTTTTGCTTTTTATTATTCTTTAATATATAACAGCATGAATAATGATCATTAAAATTTCGCAATCTTTGTAATTCATTAATAACATAGCCTTTAGGTATATCATTATAATTAAAGAATTCTTTTTTCGTTCTTTCTATAAAGCTCTTAAATATACTTTTATCAATTAAATTTTTCTTAAAATAAATATTTCCACAACTGATATCTATTTCACTTAAATTATTTTTAATTTCATCCCCTTCAGTAATACTTAATGTTTCATAAAATATGCTATTAGAATAATTTTTTTTTTTATCTGTTTCTTTTTTATTATAACTAATTTCTTTATATTTTTTTAACTGATTATTTATTTTATCTAATTTTATCCAACTATTAGGTATTGTTTCTTTTTCAAATATACCTATTAGTTTCCAAAAACAATAGTCAATTATTTCTTTATTTTGAATATTATATGCACAATAAGTTAACATTATAATTATATCATCTTCAATATTCGTTTTTAATAATAGGTTTTTAAAAATGTTAAACAAAAAATTGAATTGAAAAATATGCAATGTATACAAAAATTCAATATTAACACAAATATCACATTCTTCTATAATATTTGTAAATAAGTAATTTATATATTCATTTATTTTATTTATTTGTTTTTCGCTCAAATTATTAATTTTTTCCTCCTCTTCAGAAAAATTTACATCTGGTGAATGATTATTACTATCTTCATTTAAGTAGTTCTTATTAATGAATGCATCGTTATTTTCTCTAATGGATGAATAATTACCTTCATTATTACATAAATAATTATCTTTTTCATTTAATAAATATATATTTTTATTGTTACATGAATAATTATTTTCTTCATAAGACGAATAACTATCTTCGTTGTACGAATTAAAATTGTTATTTTTGTTATTTAAACATATTTCCTTGCTAAATGTGTACAAATTACTATGTAAAATATTTCTATTTTGTTCATCATAATTATTGTTATATTTTTCGTTTTGATTTATTTTTTTGTTTTTTTCCTTGTGAAAATTAGTTTCCTTTTCATCTTTTTTTTTTTTCTTTAATTTTCCTAAAATTATATTATAAAACAATGTATAATTGATTTCATCGCAAATTATGTTTTCTCTATATTCATGTAGTTGAAATAAATTAATTTTTTCATTTTTCTTATTTTCTACCTCGCATTTAATAAAATATGAATGTAACAAAAAAATAACTTCAATCAAAAGAAGAATGCTCTTTAAACTAACCAAATTTTTATTTGTTGTTATTTTTATTTCATAAAATTTTTTCAAAGATAAAGTGTGACTATTAGAATCGCTAAGATTCTTTAAATCTATATTATTATCCTCTCTATTTCTATCCTCACTATTGTATATATTACAATTAAATTCTTTACGTTTATTATCATTTATATTTTCATTTGGTTTTATATAGTACTCATTTGTATATGCATTATCTACTTTTAAGAATGAAATTTTATCATTATATTTATTATAGTAATTATTTTCATATTTACTAATGTTGCAATTATTTCCATTAGAAGCACCAGAATTGAAACTGTAATTATTACTAGTGAAATCATTGTCATAATTTTCATTTCGCATATTGTTTTCATAAGGTGCATTAAGGTTCATATAAAAATTTGTATATTTCATCTGAGTATCCTTATTAAAACATCTCATTTCTTCCTTCTTTTTTTCACAAGTATAATCGAAAATTTTTTTTTTATAATTTTCTATTATTCCAATTCTATTGCTAATATAAAAATTGCTATCATGAAATTTTAGGTCTTTTATAACATTTTTTAGCATAGGAAATGTATTCAAAATATATTTTTTTATTTTTAGAATAATAGATATAGTATATGTCTCCATTTCTATATAATTTCTCCCTGCATCATCTTTATGTTTTTCTTTTTGATTTAATATTTTACTTTTCTTTAAAAAATAGTTATCAATTATATAATCAATATCTGATTTCTTCGAAATTTTGTTAAAATAATGTTCTATATTATCATACAACTTTTTATATGCTAACACATATTTATCCAGAATACATTCTTTTTTTATATATTCTGTTATTATTAATACAATATATTCACATTTTGAACATTCATAACTTTCCTGTAAATTATATCTATTATTTGCTATAAATCCACCTGTTATATTTTCTTCATATTCTCTTTTTACATTTTGTTTAAAAAAGTATTCTTTTTTAATTATATTTTCTAAGCGATCTTGCCTTTCTTTCCAACTGTTTTTATAATTCTTCATTTTTTTTTTTTTTTTTTTTTTTTTTATATTAATATATTATAAATATAGCTATTTATATATAGTGCATAAAAAAAAATACATATATTATCATAATTTTTACATTTATTACAAAGAAAATATATTGTAAGGATTAAGTTAACAAATATAACAAAAAATAAAAAAGAAATGTAAACTTTTTCATTGAAATATTATAATAATAAAAAATAATAATAAAATAAATAAATTAATTTCTAATGTAGAATTCATGATCAACTAAAAAAAAAAAAAATACAGAAAAAATATAAAGAAAAATGTTTTATGAATATCATTAAATGTAACGTGTTAAGATTATTACCTGAATCGGCATTTTTATAAATATTTCTTTTAAGTAAACCATAAAATTATTAAATTAATTATATAATTTTTTTAATGAAATGGATAAAAAAAAAACTTCAAGATCTTGACGTTCTTATTTTTTGTTTATCTTTTAATGATTTAATATTCACCAGAATAACATTTATTCTAAAAAAATTTTCTTCATTTTATTCAAGTAAAATTATAAAAACGAAGAATTTTACTTTTTTTCTAAATACTTTTTTACTTATTAAAATATCTTATTTATATTTAATACTTTTTTATAATTAAGGTGATGAAAAAGAATAAATTTTTACTTAAACACATAATTGAAATGTTCCTCCTTTTCATCACTTAAAAAATTGTTTAAGTTATTGAATGCATTTTCCTTTTTCCATTTCAAAAAAAATACCTTACAAAATTTTTTTTTTTTTTTTTTTGTTTTTAGCATGTATATTTAAAAAGAAAAATATATATTTTTTTTTTTTAATGAAATGCATTATTCTTAATTCAACAAAAATTTTTTTTTTTCAATTTATTGAATGAATTTCTTCAAAGAGTGCCATTTAATATAATATAGTAAAATAATAATAAAAAAAAATTTAAATGAATTAATTAAAATTTCTTTTTATATATAATTATACATTAATATTATTAAATTAATATGAAAAATAAAAAATTAATAATTTATTCAAGTTACTAGAAAAAAGTAATGAAAAAAAATGGATATCCCAGAACAAGAAAAAAACAGTAATGAAAAATATATTGACGAAAACCTTAAAAATGAAGATTCGATTAATTTAAAAAGAAAAAATGAAAATTTAAACAAAAATTTTAAAAGATTAAAAAAAAAATTCAAAGGAAATGGTGAGGAAGAAAATGATAAAGCAACAAATATATATAGCCAAGAAAATTTAGAAGTATTTTCTAAAAATAAGATAATTGACCAAAGTATTTCAGATAATTATAAGTTTAATAAAAAAAGTAAAAAAATTATAGATGAAGATTACAGCGATGATGATGAGATGGAAAAAAAAGAGAATGAAGAGAAAGATTATAGTGAATCAAAAATAGGTAATGTTGATAACAATAATGTGATAAGAGAACCAAATAAAAATGATAATTTAAAAAATGATTATAAAATGAAATTATTGAATATAAATTCAAATGAGAAGGAGAATTTTGAAAATATTGAAGAAAGTAACAAAGTTATTGAAAAAGACAATAGGGAAATTCAAAAAAACATTAAGAGAAGTATTGATGAAAAAAATAAAAATGAAGAGAAGGAAGAAGATGAAGAAGACAAAAAAGAGAAGGAAGAAAATGAAAATGAAGAAGAAGAAGAAGAAGATGATGAAAATGAAGAAAATGAAGAAAATGAAGAAGAAGAAGAAGAAGAAGAGGAAGATGAAGAAGAAGAAGAAGAAAAAGAAGATGAAGAGGATGAAGATGAAGAAGACGAGGATGAGGATGAAGATGAAAATGATGATGAAATGAAAGGGTTTATTGTTGACAGCGAAGAAGAAGAAGAAGAGGAAGAAGAAGAAGAAGATGATGATGAAGAAGATGAAGAGGAGGAAGAAGAGGAAGAGGATGATGAAGGAAAAAAAGAAAAAAAAAAGAAAAAAAAAAAGAAGAAAAAATATGACTACTTTGAAAATAAAAGTTTAGATGAAGAGGATTTAGAATTAATCGCAGAAAATACAGGAATACAAGTTATTAGAAATGAAAAAGACACTAAACACAGAAGATTAAAAAAAATAAAAGATAGTGATGATGATGATTTTGATAACGAATATCATAAAAATGAGAATGAAAGTAAAATTGATGTATTAAAAGACAAAGATTATTTTATTGATGACAGTGAAGTTCCATTAAAAAAACAAAAAGGTGAATTAAAAAGTAATTTATTTAACTATGATGATAATTTATCAGATACAAGGGAAAATGAAAATGGTGAAGAAAGTTATCACATAACTTCCGATAACATTTACAAAGCAGATTCATATATACATGAAATAATTAGCCAAACTTTTGGGGACGTAAATACTGTTTTAGATATTATTAATGTTTCTCCAACAAAAAAAAAAAAAAAATATGATTACGAAAATGATGAAGATGAAGAAGATTACGAAGAAGATCAATTATCAAAGGATATTATACTAGATGACGAGGATTCAAATAAAATTAAAAAAAAAAAAAAAAAAAAATTAGTTAGTTTCTTTGATAATATTAATGCAAACATGGAAAAGAAAAAAAGTGAAGATGAGGATTATGAATATGATAAAAATGAAATAGAAAATGAAGGATATGAATATGAAGTTGAAGATGAAGATGAAGAAGATGAGGAAGAAGATGAAGAAGATGAGGAAGAAGATGAGGAAGAAGATGAAGAAGAAGAAGAAAGTGAAGAAGAAGAGGAAAGTGAAGAAGATGATAAGGAATATGAAGAAGAATATAAAGATGTTTATGAAGATGAATATGATGAAATGGAAGATTATGAAGATGATTTATATGAGGATGAAAATGGTAGCGAAGAAAAATATGATAAAAAAAAAAAAAAAAAAATGTTAAGTATAGAAGATGAAGGTGCAGATAAAACAAAGGGTTCTAACTTATTTGATGATGAAGATAGTATTGTTAAAAAAGAAAAATCCAAAATAATTAAGAAAAAAAAAAAAAAGAAAAAAATAAGTTTAGATAAGATAGATAGTAAATGGAAGAAATTTGCGGAACCAGATGAAACGGTAACTCAGTTACTAACAAAAAAAGATGATCTAATAAGATATTCAGATATGCCAGAACGATATTTTGCATATAAAAAAAGAAAAATCAAATTAACAAAAAAAATGTTGTTTATTGAATCAAAATGGATATTATTTAAATTGAAGGAAAAATATCCAAACTATTTTACTTATAAAAATTTTGAAAAAATGATTGAAGAAACTTACGAAAATACCTATGATATTAATATAAATGAATTTTTATCAGAAAAGTTTCTTATAAAAAAATGCATACTAACTTTAAATATGATAATAAAATATAAAAATGAAATACCTTTTATTTTTTTTCATAAATCCTACCTTATTTTTCCTCCATTTAATATAAACATTTTATGGGATATTTATGAATTAGATAATTTATGGTACAAAACGTTTATAAAGATAAAAAAGTTAAAAAGTAAATTAAAAAAGTTAGGTAATAATTATAACATTCATTCTAGTGTTTTTGATATTCTTAATAAATATAATGAAATATATTATGATGATGTTAATATTTACTATTATTACATGAAATATAATTTAATTAATGGAAATAATAAATTAGTGAAAAGTAATATTTTGACAATTGAAAATAATGAAGAAATGTATAAAAATGATAGTATTATGAAAAGTATAGATAAAGAAAATGACATAAATAATGTTAATGAAATTAATAACTGTTTTACTGATAAAAATGAAAATATAAAAGAAATAAACTATGATCAATATTTTGATCCAAGTAATAAATATAATGACAAAAAAGAAGGGTTTGAACAATTTGATTCTATTTTGGGGAATACTGATGAACAAAACACAAAAAATATACTCAATATAAATACAGAAAATAATTACTCCGAAGAGAATGTGAAAAATAATAATTACAATGATGATTTAGATATTGACAAGGTAGAAAGTAAAAATAGTTACTTGAATAAAAAAGAATGTAATGATAATGAATATGAAGATATTACTAAAAAGGAAATTATAATGGAAAAGAAAAATGATATGGGAGTAAATGAGGAAAATGATAATTTATTTGAAAATGTAAATGATAATTCCATTTTGAGTATAAAAAATGATTTAACAAAAGATGAATGTAATAATGTATATGACGATAATGTGCTAAATGATGAGATTTCGTATGCAAATAATAATGATATATATTTAAAGGATGATTTATTTGGTGAAGATATGTTAGAAGATAAAAAAAAAGAGGAAGAATCAGAAAACAAACAAACCAAAAAAATTGAAAGTAAAAAATATAATGAGAAAAGTATCCCAGGTTTACTATTTCTAGAATATGTTAAAAAAAATAATTTCAATATATGGGATGATTACTTACTGACAACGGAAGAATTTTATGAAAACATATCGTATATGTATGATTTGATAAAAAATGAGAAAATATATAATTCAGATAAAAAAATTAATGAAAGTAAAAAATATCAAAAAGAAACAGACAATAATGATATTAGTGTGCAGGAAAAAAATGAAAGAGAAAATTTAACAGTGTTTAAATATAATTGTTCTAAAATAAAAAATATTGTAACTAATGTACCTGAAATATATGTTAATGATTTAAATATACAAAACCAAATTGAGGAGTGGTGTAAGTCCTTTTTTTCAAGAGATATATTAAATAACAAAGAAATTTTTAAAACTTTAATTTGCTATTATTCCAAGTTATTAGCTTGTCATCCATGTATAAAATATATATTGAGATTTTTTTTTTTGAAATATGCTTCATTAACTACTGTAAGCACAAATCAAGGGGAAGCACAAATAGATGTTAGTAACACTGATTATTTCTCATATAGACTATATAGGTTTCCTATACACCATTTACTCTATTATTCAGATACAAATCATTTTGTTAAAGATACAAATGATAAATGTCACAGTAATGATTTGATTAAAAATAATACAGATTCAAATGAAAACAATAAAACAGATATATTTGAGATGACACATGACCCATGTTACATACACAATTATAATGTAGATTTTTTTAATACACAATTAGATGAAAGTGATATTAATATAGATATTAAAAAAAAGGAGTTAGAGAATTATTACAATTTACATAAATATAAACATATTTATTTAGAAATTCTCAAAAATAAAGAAAATAGGTTGGTTAATTTAATAATTCATCCTATATTACCACATGAAAATGTTCCATGGAAGAATGATGATTTTAATGAGAGGGAAAAATCAAAAAAAAAAAAAAAAAAAAATGAAAGAGATCTTAAAAATTATTTTGAAAAAGAAAAAAACAAATTAATGAAAGCAGAAACGTTGGATAATGAATGGATAAACAATATATTACAGCAATTATCATATGCATATTGTTATAATGATATGGAAAATAATAATATTTTCGTATATATACAAAAAAAAATATTAAATAACTTTTTATGTGTAGAATTATTACCTTTATTTAAAAAAAATATTGAAAACTTATTATTAGCTAGTGCTCAAAATTGGTTAATGGTATATATACACCAGTCTTTTTATTTAACTTTGAACGTGAAACCAATTAAAATGTTAAGAAATTGTAATGAGGAAAAACAAAAAAAAAAAAAAAAAAAAAATAGAGATATGAACAGTTCAGATGGTAATGATTATTCTTCAGATTGGAAAAGTAAGGAATCTTATTCAAAATACGATGATGAAGATGATAACAATAGAAAAGATAGTAATTATAAAAAGAATAAAAAAAAATATTATAGTGAATCTTATAGCAGTGATTCAAACAATAAAGATAATGAAAGAGAAAAAGAAAAAAAGGAAAAAAAAAAAAAAAAAAAAAAAATGGATAAAAAATATTATAATATGGATTCCTATAAATCGAATTTATTTCATTCTTCACATTCTTCAGATGATAACACATATAAGTCAGGAGATGAATTAAAAGAAAAATATAATAATTATAAAGGAAATATAAGTTCTGATAACTTCTCTGATAAATCAGAAAAAAGTTACATTTCTAATAAAAATGATGACGAAAAAAAACAACAATCTATAATAAAAAATATTAAAAAAAATCATAATGTCTACGAGGTAATATCAATAGTGTGCGAAAGTATTAACTTTAGTATAAGGTTGCATATAATGGCATGTGATATATATGGAGATATAATTGAATATAAGCATTTAGATAATATATATTTAGATGTTGTAAAAAAGGAAAAAACTGCATTAGAAAAAGAAAAAATATCAAAAGATATTAACATATTCTTGTTTCTTTTAAAAAAAATAAAACCAGATATAATAGTTGTTGGAATTAGAGATGTTCATTCGTATTTAATTTATTCATATATAGTAGATTTATTGAATAATAATAGTCATGGTAATAATAAGGATAATAATGGAAATAACAGTAAAAATAATATTAACAGTAATAACGAAAATAGTCATAAATACCTTATTATACCTGAAAATTTATATATCCCATGTATAGTTACAAATAGCTTAAAATATAGTATTGATTTAACTAATAAATATTCAAGAGAAGCATTGGTTTGCTTATCCCTTTGTCGTTTTATTCAAAATCCATTATGTGTTTTAATTTCATTATTTGATGAAGAAAACAGAAATATGTTTAACATATGCTTACATGATTTACAGAAATATATTTGTAGTTATAAATTAGAGTCATTATTTCTTAGGATCATTATTGATGTTGTAAATAAAACAGGATTTGATATAAATTTTTTAAAAAAAAAAAAAAAACATTTAGGTAAAATGATAAGTTACATATCTGGTTTAGGTTTAAGAAAAGGAGAGGAAATAATGAAATTATTGCATAATAAAAATTTGAATACTCGTGAAGATTTACTAACTTTATCATCTAATAAAAATTTAATTGGAAAATGTGTATATAGAAATTGTTCTTCTTTTATTAGAATAATTGGAAATAGAGATGAATACGTTGAAGCATTAGATAATACAAGAATACATCCATTAAACTGTTATGATATAATACATGAACTTATAAAAAACTCAGTTGATAAAAAGAATAACTTTTTAAAAAATACAAATACATATGATATTGTTAATTATATTATTGATAAAAAAAAGTTTATTAAAAATATGGAAATAAAAGAATATTCAAGAAAAATTTACGATGAAAAGAAAATTTATATATATCCTTATTTAAAATTTGTAAAAAATGAATTATTACATCCCTATAAAGATTATCGCTATAATTATAAGAAGAAAAAAGAAGAGGAATTATTTTACTTAATTATTAATGAGAAAAAAGAAAATTTAACTATTGGATCAGAAGTAGTTTGCAGAATTAATTATATAAATAAAAATAATAATTATATAAAAATTACAATATTACCATATAACGTTAGGGGAGTAATTAATGACTCAAAAGAATTTTTAAGGCAACTAAGAAACTACTACAATGAGAAAATGAACCTTATTAATGCTAACCTTGAAAACATAAATTCTATTAATAAAAACAATTTTTATAATAAGAATAATAATATGAAAGATATTCAATTTATAAATAATACCATATTAGGTGAATTAATTAAAGGAAGAATAGTAGAAATTAATTATAATTTGGATAATAAATTTGAAACAAATATTCATGTGGTTGTCACAGAAGAAAATATTAAAAAAATAAAAAAACAAACTTTTTTAGAAAATTTAAAATACCCTTTTAATTATGATAATTTATCACCATTGATAGAATTAGACATAAATCATGATAACAATAATTTCATTGAAAATCACTTTAAAAAGTTAAATGATAATGAAGATTTTGAAGATTGCGATGAAGATCAAAAAATTAAAATTAAAAATAAAAATAAATATTATCAAAATAAAAAATTTGTAAATCATCCAAATTTTAAGTTATGGAATTATCAAGAAATATATGCATATTTAAAACAACAAAACATATCTATAGGTGAAGCTATTATATATCCTTCAAACGAAATAAATAAATTATATTTGCTTATTAAAACAAGTGATAATCCTTTTATTGTAGCAAAATTTACTATAATAGAAAAAAATATTCAACTAAATAGTTTGAGTAAAAATATGCACTCAGTACAACAAATATATATAATCAACAATGAGCAATTTAATTCAATAGATCAAATAATTTCCATTTTATGCGAAAATTTAAAAAAAAATTTATTAGAAATATACAAGCATCCTAAATGTAAAAAAAGAAAAACTATTGAAGAAGTAAGAAAAGAGTTATATCAGGAAAGTTTGTTAAAGCCTGATAATATTGTTTGGTCTGTTGTACCTCCTATATTATCACAAAAAAATAAAAATGAAACGGAAAAAAATATTCAAGATTTTAATCCATTAAGATTTACATTAATGGTTATTCCACCATACAATCATCATCAACATTTATATTCCAATTTCAGTAATGTTTATCAACAAAAAGATTTAATAGTGCTTCACGATTCTATTTATGTTGATCATAAATCTTTTAAATTGTGGACAAAAACGGAAAAAAGTTTTAAAAATTTAATCAACTGGTGGAAAGAAAAAGGATATTGGAATCGTCAAAATGAAAGACAAGAATATATGAACGAAAAAAAAAAAAAAATGGAGGAATATAAAAAACTTAAAGGAATAAAGAATTGATTTAATATCACCATATAAAATATCAATTCAATATGTGAATAAATATATATATATATATATATATACTAATAAAAAAATAATAGTTATAAAGTAAAAAAACTACAAAAAATAATTGCATAACATATTTAATAGTGCACATAAAAAAAAAAAATTAAAATAATTATACAAAAGAATATAGTAATAAATATTTAACATAATAAAATGTTTTTAAATTGTACTTTTTTTCTTTTTTTTTTTTCTGGAAATGAACACTAAGAAAAATTTATGAATTAAGATAGAATATTAAATCATTGAAAAAAAAAAAAAAAATTAAGTTAAAAATTAATATTTTATAAATAAAAAAAGCTTTCCTTAGTATATGAAAAATGTTCATAATAAACAATAAACATGCCTTATTTTTTAATATTTAGTATTATTTATCCATATTTTTTTTTATATTAAAGATAAATATTAATTTTCATTTTCATTTCTATTTAATAAATTATACATTAAAACTTTTCTTCATAGAATTACTTAAAAAAAAGTTTAAAAATCTATTGAATTTTCTTAAGAAACAATTTATATTGTTTCTATCATAAATGACCAAAAATATAGATATACTTTTTTTATTATCACCGTATTACAATTTATAATATGGTTTGAATATAATTTTATATATAAATTTAGAATGTTTTTTTTGTTTTATTTATAAGTTGATATTTCCTATATATATTCTTTAAAAAAAAATTAAAGATATTTGAGACATCATTTTAATTTTCAATTTTTAAGGTTTATTTTAATTATTACGTTCTTAAAATTTTAAAATAAAATTATTTATATAATTAAAACGTTTTAATATTACTCTCATAAAATATTTTTTAAAAACATTTTTTTTAATAAAATTTTAACTTTAATAAAATCCTAGTAATCTACAAATTCAATTTTAATGAATAGAAATAAAATAGTAATACGTTTAATTTCTTCAATAAAAAAATAATATCATTTTTTAAAAATTCATGTTTATATATATATACAAAAAAAGATTTTTCGCCAAATAAAAAAAAAATTAATGTACATAGTTATTTTAATTAAAAACAAAAAATTAATATAATAAAAAAAATTATAAATGGAAGAGATTAACTTTTTCTTTTTTTTTTTTTTTTAACAAATTCCTAAATGAATACTAAAATATATATATATATATATATATACATATATATACATATATATATATATATACATATATTTTTATTTCAATAAATTTTGCTCTTCATATGCATATATTTATGACTTCATTAATTATATAAGTACAAAAAAAAAAAAAAAAAGTACAATTTTTATATTGATGCATGCACAAAAAAAAAAGAAAAAAAAAAAAAAAAAAAAAATTATTATACATCAATATGCATAATAGAGAAATTAAGTTTTAAAGTTATAACATTTGTCTGTAGATTCAAAAATAATTATTTTTTTTTTTTTTTCTTATAATATTAATATATCAAAAATAAGTTTAATTTAATAATAAATTCTTTTATTTTATCTTGCTTTTATTTATTGAACATAATTTAATATATATTAAATTTATTTTTTATAGTCATACTTTATTTTTACTTATTTTTATGTTATTCAAAATGGCAATCTATTTGTGAGTAGCGTTAGTTGCTAATTATAAGCAATTACAATTTAATTATAATTTACTTCTTAAAATTAACAAGAGAGATACCACAGAATAACGAAATTGGAAGTTATAACACACTGTAGCATATATACATTTATACATAATTATTATAAGAGGATAATATTAAGTTTTTGAGGTGTGATTGTTAATTTTTTTTTTTTTTTTTTTTCCGCAATATAAAGAGAACGAAATAAGAATTACCAGTATTATATATCTTACGTTTTTGGTATTAATTGAATGTTTTTATTTTTGTATTAAAGTGATTATTAAGATGAAGTGAAAATGGAGTAAGTATACATATAAATAGGAATATTTTTTTTTTTTTTTTTTTTTTACTTTAAAAAAATAAAAAATAATTTTCTATATTAACGTATAGTTATTTTTATATAACACATTTCTTAAAATATATATATATATATATATCTATAGGAGACAACAAAATGCAAATACACATTTAATACAATCTTTTAAATATAAACATAAATTTTTTTTTTTTTTTTTATTTATTATTATTTTGTACTATACATTGTGTTTTAAAGAGTGTTATTTTATAAAATAGTAAGTCCATTTAGAATTTTGAGTGAATAACTGAGTGTAATATTGTATATTTTGATTATAACTTAATATTATGAAAACAGAAAAAACAACAATAGTTGGTCATAGAGGTTGCGGTTGTAGTCAAGTAGGAGGAACTTCAATTTATCCTGAAAATTCTCTTTTTTCTTTTAAAAAAGCAGTAGATTTAAAAATTGATGGAATTGAGTTGGATGTATGGCTAACTAATGATAATGAAGTTGTAGTTATTCATGGAACTAATGATGGATTAATAGGTCATACATTATTGTATGGAGAAGAAATGAAAGGTAAATATATTGAAGAATTAACACGTAAAGAAATTCAAAGTTTTCATTTCAAAGAACCATGGATATTAAGAAAAGGAAAAAATTATTATATTGGTAATTCTAATGAATCAATAAAGTTTTCTATTTTAAACGAGAATGAGAAATTAGAAAAGATCAGAGATTATGATGAATTTGATAGTATGTATCTTAATGTAGAAGAAAATGATGAAATAGAAAAAATTATTAATGAGAGTTTTTTCAATAATTGTTTAACGGAGAAAAATAATGATGTAGAAAGCGATGAAAAGAAAAGAGAAAAAGAAAAAAAATTTTATAAAGAATTTGGAATAGATGATAATATTGAAGAAGAGGAATTTATAAAAAATATTGAATGTTCATACTGTAAGTTTATTTATACGAATTATTTGAGCAAAAGAACCTTTGAGTTTAAAAGAAAACAAGTGATATTTAAATTCATATCTATGTTTTATCATGTACCATTATTAAAGGATATATTAAATATATTTAAAAACAAATTAACTTATGATATTGAATTGAAAGGAACAAAAGAAAATATTGGGTTATATATATTAGATATTTTGGAAAATTATAAAGGATTAAAGTTTAAGTTCAGCTCATTTAATTGGATATTGCAAGATAATCAAATAAAAAAAAAATTATTTAAAAATAAAAACATGCAAAAAATGGATTATTCTTCATATCCTTATTATAATGTGGAAAAAATTGATTTATTAAAACCACTAAGAAATAATAAATTGAATATACCACTAGCTTTATTATTTACAAATAATGAAGTTATGCCAAATATAAATTCCATTTTATGCTCGATGAAGTATTATAATGCAGAATGGGCTCATTTTCCTTGTAGCTTAAATAAGCAATCAATTATATTAAATTGTAATAGAAAAGACAAGATTATTTCAGTAGATTATCTTGTAAAAGTTTTACATAAAAACAACAAAAAAATCATGATTTATTGGGGAGCTGAAGATAAGGATCAAGATGATGATTTAATGTGTTACATAAAATTAAACGTTGATTCTATTTGCCCTAATGACATAGCACTAGCTAAAGAAGTTATGCAAAAGGAAAAATACATAAACTCAAAAATAAACGAAGTATCAAATAATAATATTGTGAATGATTTAGATACAAATTCTTTTTTAGAGAAAGATGAAAAAACTCCATTATGCATATATTAATTTTTAATATATATATATATATATATATATATTTATATATATATATATTTTTTTTTTTTTATGATTTTTTCTTCTATTGATCTTTATAAATATTAAAGAGAGAAACTAAAAATACTGTATTTTAAGTTTTCGATCGTTTAAAAAAAATGTACATTATGTTTAAAATAATGAAATATACTTTTTGCATACCGGTTTTTTTACTAAAGTTAACATAATTTTTTAAAAAACTCCTTTTTTATTTTGTTCTTATTTTTTTCATTAACATCAAGAACTTGTAAAATATTTAATAGTTAAATATTAATTCTTTAAAATTATATTTTATGAATATAAATTTTATAATTTATATATTCCAATGTAAATATTTAAAAAAAAATTTTACTTGCAATATATAAAAAAAAAAAAAAAATTATACATAATTTTTAAAGCTTATATTCATGTTATTTTTTACGAATATTCTTATTATTAATGTAAGATTTGTTTTATAATTCTCGATTTTTTTTTTTTCTTTTTTTTATTTACATTTTAATACTATTTAACTTTTTTATAGTTAAATGTTAATTTCATAAAAAAAATTAATTTATGTTGTATTATTAAAAGAAAGGAAATGAACAAATCAATATAAAAATTATTTACTAAATGAATTTAAAATATTGTTATGTGTTTTATTTAATTAAGGTTATTTTATCAATAAAGTTGAATACAAATAGAAATAATGTATTATTTTTAAATCCCATATTTAATATATCAGATTTAACAAAATTAAAAGAGAAAAGGAGAATTAATTTAAATAAAAAAAAAAAAAATGATAATAATACAGTGATAAAAATTGATAATAAAATATACTTGTTTAATGAAAAAAAAAATGAAGAAAATATTGATTTAAACGAAGACATTTTAAGTAAAAAGGGTAACACAAAAGATGTTGAACAAAGTATATTTCCTCTAAGTATAGATTGGATAAAAGTAATGAATTTAATTTATTCTAACAGTGATGTTGAAGGAACAACCTTAGCGTTTAATGCTGCAATATCAGCTGTTGAAAAAAAAGGTTGTTTAGTAACTATTTTAGAATTATTTGAAATTATGAAAAGGAAAAATATAAAACCAGATATAGTTTCATATAAATTAATTTTGAGCTTATGTGATAAATATCATTTAGCTGAAAATGCTGAAATAATTTTTAATGAAATGATAGAAACAGATAAAATTATTCCAAATTATGAAATTTATGCAATAATGATAAGTTGTTTTTCAAAAATGGGTTATGGTTATAAGGCCATTGAATTTTTTGAAAAAATGAGAAATGACCCATTTATTGAGGAAATGAAAAATATAAATACAATTGATGATAAAAAAAAATTAGAAGAGTGGAATACCAATGAAACTCTAGAAGAAGATTCAGATGTAAAAACTAACTATAATAATCAATTTAAAGAAGTTAGTAAAAAAATTAAAAATGTAGAAAAACAAAACAGTAAAATACAATATAGTGAATATGCTAATGTTATTTTTGCCTGTAATATGGCGAATTTACCTATTCAAGGAATAAAATATTTTGAAGAATTATTAAATAGTGGAAAAAATATTCCTTCTATTTTTGTTTATGAAAATATTTTTGATTTATTAAGTAAAAATGGGAATTATGAAAAGTGTTTAGAATATTATACTAAATTAAAAGATGATCCTAATTTAAAAAAAAATTTGAATGTTAATATATTAAATAATATTCTAAAAGCATTAAGTATTTACAACAAAATTAATATAATTGAAGATATATGGAATAATGAATTTGATGAATTAACATTATCACCAAATATACTTTCATATCAAATTATTTTAAAAGTATATAGTGAAATAGACGAATATGAAAAAGCTTTTAAATTATTTAAAGAAATGCAAATAAAAAAATTATTAAATAATAAAAATATTTTGCCATTTTTATATACAATTAATTCTTTTAAAAATTGTGGTATATATAATTATTCTATTTATGTATTAAGAATAGCCAAAATTTTACAAGTATCTAGCAATGATTTACTAATGCTATACAACAATGCTATGATTTCTTGTGTGAATTCTAAAAAATATGATGTTATTGTGTCGTTATATGCTGAATTAATAACTTTTCAACAAAAAGAATCATCATTTCATTTAAATATTAATACATTAAGTTTTGTTCTTTTAGCTTTTAAAGAATTGAAAATGGATGAAGATTTTACAAATTTAAAGAATTTAATAATTCAAAAAAATTACAAATTAACTCCTCTTTGTTTAAAGTTATTTGAAGAAGATCAAAATAAATAGAAGCATCTTTTAAAAAATAGAAAACCAATATTATAAATAAAAGTAAAATGATAATATTTATTACATATAAAAAAAAAAAAAAAAATTCATATATAAATATATTCGTATAAATATTAAATGATAAAAAAAATTGAATTAAAATAACAAAGATATTTTTTGTATGTATACAAATATAAAATTATAAATATACTTCTTAAATATAATAGAATATATATAATGATAAATAATTAAATTAAAATTATAAAGATAAATTTTAAATATATTACAAAATTTATATGTTTATTTCAAAAAGAAACTAATAGAATTATATGTTATTATATATGAAATATATATATATTTCTATTGTTCTTTATTTTGTTGTATTTTCATTATTTTCCTTTTTTTTATTGCTTTTTTTTAAAAATTTTATTTTCCTACTTTTTAATTTTGCTTCTTGACATTCTGACTTTAAAAAATTCAAATCCATTTTTAAATCATTTATTTCTTTTAACAATAATGAATTTTCATTCATCATTTTTATTTTTTCTTTTCTAAAAGCTTCAGTTTCCTTTTCTAACTTTTCCTTTAATACTTCAATCATATTTTCTAAGTATTCTTTTTGTCTAATATACTCAGAAAAAACATTTTTGGTATCATAATTCTTCACGTCATTAACTTTATGAAATTTGTTGTATAAATTTAAAAATGAGGAGTTAAATATTTTTTTATCATGTAGATGCAAATAACATTCTTTAATATGTTCTTGTAAATTTTTAAGAATTTTATCGTAATTTCCAATTGTTTTATTGTAATTTAATAAATCATCATGTAATGACTTTATTTTCATTTTATATTCATTAATTTCAATTTGCAAATTGACAGTCTTTTTGTGATTATTTTCAAAGCATTTTGCCATCTCATCAATTTTTTCTCTCATAATTTTAATTTCTGAGTCTTTTGGAGATAAATTAGATTCTAAATCTTTAATTTTTTGAGTTAAAACAATTTTAAGTTTTTCTAATTCTTCATTTTTCTTATTTAAATTTGTTATTTCCTTATTTTTAGAGTCTATTTCTTTTTCTTTAGATAAAATATTGTCTTTAAGATTACTTATATCAACTTTTAAATTATCTATATTCTAAAAAAAAAAAAAAAGTTTTTTATACTTAATACATTATAAAAATTTATTTTAATAATTATAATAATCCTTTTAATGTAATATTTTATTATTATTTTACCTCTTGTAATCTCTTAGCTGTAATATTATTTTTTATAAATTTTTCTTTTTCTTCTTGAATATTTTCCTTAAGCTCATTCTCTATATATTCATATAGTTTAAATTTTCCTAATAGATTATATTTATCTTCTTTTAGTTTTTTTATCTCATCTTCATATTTTTTTGTTATAATTAAAATTTCTTCATCAACATCTTCTTCTATGCGCTTTATATATTCGTCTTTTTCTTTTTGTAAATTTTCATATCTTAATATAAAATTTTGCATATAATCTTCTTTCTTTTGTATTTCTTCCTTTTTTTCTTTTGTTATCTCATTTATTTTCATTTGGTGTTCTTTTTTTAAATCTAAAATTTCTGTCGTCGAATTTTTTTTATATATATTAAATTCCTCTTCTAACTTCAAATACTTATCTTCATTTATTTTATTAGTTAAATAAAATTGTGAATTTAATTGATTTACAAAATAAGTATGCTTTTCTTCTAGTTCATATAAAGATTCTTTACAAGCATTTTCAATTTTTTCTTTTTCTTTTATCAAATTTTTATTGATTTTAATTAAATTATTTATCTCTATATTTTTTTCTTTTTTTAGTTTTTTCATTTCATTTTTGTAAATAGACTCCTTGTTTTTCATTTCTAATTCCATTTGATTTTTTAAATTGGTAATTTTCTTTTGTAATTCTAAAACTTCTTTGTTTTTCTTTTGTACATAAAAAAAGTCAATTAAGATTTCATCATTTTCTTTTTCATCTTCATTTAATATGTAATTTGTTTTATTATTCAAATCATATAATAAAAAATTATTTTTTAATTTTATGTTTTCATTTAGAATATTAGTAGTTTCATTATTTAAATCGGAAAGGTAAAATCCTTTTTCTAATTCTGTGCAATCATTAAATTTATTTTTATCTTCGTTATTTAACACATCTTTTTTTAATTTCACGTGTTCATTATATATGTTTGTTGTATCGTTATTATTAAAAGTGTTATTAATATGTGCCAATGTTTTATTTTTACTTATACTGTCTTGTTCTAATTCTTCTCTATCATTTTCTATTCTCTTATCTTCTTTTTTGCAAGTTAAATTATTTAAAGTATTCAAGTTATTCTGAGATAAAAATAAGTTATCAATTTTCTCTATAGAAAAAATATAAATAGAACCATCTTTAGAACAACTAAATAATAATTCTCTGTTTAAATCTAGTTTTAAATTAACACAGTTTAAAATGTGACAAGGAATTTCTAAAAATAAACCACATAAAGGTAATGCATAAAATCTGATTCTGCAAAAAAATCCATTATGAAAAGAAGCAATTAAAAATTTATTTTTATAGAGTAATATTTTATTAATGACATAATCACATTCTAAAACACATTCAATTTTTGAATTGCAATACTGCTTAATGGTCTTATCATCACAAGATACATAAATATTTTTTATTTCATTAGTATTTAAATTACTGAAGCTTTTATAATCGTTATCATATTTTATTAAATCTATATTATTTTGTTCATTGTTTTCTTTTTTTTTATTCTTATCATTTAATATTTCTAAATCTATGCTTAAAAATTTTTTTTCTTTTTGCATAACTTCAATAATTTTACTGCCATTATTGTAAAGTGAATATTCAAATAAATATCCATCTTTTCCAATTGAAAAAATAGAAAAGTCATTTGAACTCCATATTATATCAGTAATATAATTTACATGAGATTTTAAAATAAATAAAAGATCATATGTATAAGTTTTGTATATATATATTGTTGAAATTTTTGAGACAGCCATAAAATTGCCTCCATTTGAAAATTTACAACATGAGCAATTTTTTAAAAAAAACTCTTTTTTTATTTTTAATTTATTATATAAAATATGAAATAATCTTAGTTTATCTGTAAATGCAACTAAAAGTAAGTGACCAGAACAATGAATTGATGCATGTAGTGGCTCATTATTAAATGAATTTGTCATAACTATTTCTTTTTTTTTATAATTAATAATTTTTATGTTATTATCATCATAACAAATTATAATTAATGGATGTTTTAAACAAACATCAAAATCATTTATTTTTCCTGAACTTATGTTATATAATAATGTTTCGATGTTTTTATTATCATGTTTTATATTATCATCAAAAGTATTATTTATGCTATTATTTTGATCATCATCATTTATATAATTAGCTAATTTACAATTTTCATCTATTTCATTTATAGATTTATTTAACTCTTTATTCATGTCAATAGCAATTGATCCCTTTGTAGATTTATTTATTTCAACTTCTTTATTAGAATTTCTTAAATAATCATAATTTATGTTTTTAGAATTTTCACAATATATTTTATTTTTAGTTAAGTCTAATTTCTTTAAGTTACCATCTTGGGCTAAAAAATACAAAAAATTTTCACAATGGGAAAGCAAACAATAATTATTAAATAAGGTATTATAATTAAAACTAACATAATATTTTAATAAATAATTTAGATTTACACTTAAATCGTTTGATTTTTCATAGTAGTATATAAATTCACAATCAAATAAAAAAAATCCTCTTGTAAGACATACTATTTTTAATATTTCATCATTACTTATATGTTTGTTAAATATTTTTAATTTTTCTTTTTTAATATCATAAAATATTAAATAATTATTTTTATTAATTAATAATAAAACTCCATCATTTAACCAACAGCAATTTGTAAAATTGTTATCAATTTTTTCGAGTTTCTTATTTTTTATTTTTATTTCTTCCAAGTTTTTATCAATACTAAGATAAAGAAAAACATCTCTTTGCAAATTTTTATACTTGTATATATTACTATTATAGTTATCCTTCATGTTATTTTTACTAATGTTAATTTTATTCTCATTATTTACACAATTATTTATATTTGCACTATCAATGTCCTTCTCATCTTTATCATCATCTAATTTATTTTTTTTAGTAGTAATATTATTATTTTTTATACTATTTATTGATACTAAGGCAATATAAGAAGAATTTTGAGAATTAATATAAATTTCACAATTTTCATTAAAGAGAGTTGGAGGAAATATTTTACTAAATATTAATTTCTCTTGTATCCAGTCATAACATAAAAATAAACTTTTTGTACTTCCATTAGTTATGCAATAAATATATTTATTTTTTGAAGAAAATAATATATTCATAATTTTACTTTCATTATCAGAAATCTCTAAAGTTAATCTTTTAATAAGCTTAAAATTACTCGTGAAAATTGAAATAAATGGCTTTTTTATTGATTTTTCTCCTAACGCTAGCAATTTTTTATCATTACTTAAACCTAGACATATAATACCATAACTTTTTTCATCACTTAATAAAAACTTTTGCTTTTTTTCTAAAAGCGAATGTACTACTCCATTTGTTCCAATACAATAAAAAATAGAATTTTCATCTAAAAAATAAAAAGGATTATATATGTTTTTATTTATGCCATACGCATATATAGCTTTTGTTAAGTATGTTTCTTCTTTCTTTTCAAATGTAAACATTTTTAATTTATTCTATAATTATAATTATATACTTATATATATATATATATATTTTTTATTTTAAATAAATGAAAGACCATATATTTGTTTCATGTTTAGATATCTTTATAATAAATAATATTTTTTTTCCTTTTTTTTTTTTTTTTTTTTTTTTTTTTTTTTTTTTCAGGGCTACATCTGCATTCTACATTATAATTGAGTTTTTTTTTTTTTTTTTTTTTTTTGTCAATTAAATTTAATTAAAAATAAATATATAAACAAACTTTAATTTTCACTACAATTATTAAATTTTGGGATATTTTTTTTTAAAATTATAAATATATATATATATATACAAGTTATTAATTTACATTTATTTCTGGGAGACTTATAACATTTACATCCATATATAAATAAGAAAGAGAAAAATCTACACACATTCATTTTCACTCTTCCTTTTTTTTGTAGAATAATTTTATGAAATATATTAATTCCTTCTTTTTAATGTAATTTTCATTAGATGAACTAAAAATAAGGAAGTATAATTCATTAATTTGTTTTTCTTTAATAACAATTCCTTTCATCCTTCTTTTTCTCAATCTTTCCTCCTATTTTTTGTAGTTTTTTCTGACATATATCATTTTTCCATTATCTCATTTCCACCATGTTTTACATTTCTGTATTTCATTTATTTATTACTTGTTTTATTACATTTATTAATAGAATACAGTTATTTTCAAAAAATTTTTAAATTTTCCAAGAGAAATATATTTATATTTGTTTTGTTTGACTTAATATAACTTAACAAATATATTACATACATACAAAAAATATATATATACTTTATATATAAATATATTAATTTATAAATATTTATTTTAATTTTTTTTTTTTTTTTTTTTTTTGAAAATGTTTTAGCTTTTAAAAATATTTTATATGAATTCATAATTTAATACAATAATTTATTTGTTTGCTAAATGTCCTTCAAAGAGTGGATACAATATTTTAACAGTATTTCAATTTATGTAACTTAAGAATTTTAAGGAATAAATTGTTACGAAAATAATATTAGCAAAAACATGCTAATTAACACAATTTAAAAAATCTTCTTTTAATTTTAAACTACAAATAATAAGTATCAAAAAAAAAAAAAAAAAATAAAAATAAATAAATAACAATAAAAAAAAAAGAAATTGTAGAAATTTAATTGTATTTGAAAACATATATTTACGTTTTTTAATATGAAGTATAATTGTTTTCATAAAAAAATTAATTAAGAATCAAAATAAACGCTCTTTAATAAAAATAGAAACAATTATTTCAATGAAATATATTATACTTCAAAATTTTAATTTACTGTTTTTCTTAAAATATTATTTTAAAAAGTAGGAAATGAATGTTTTATATAGTTTACTTTTCATATTTATATTAAAAATTGTAAAAAATATACATATAAGAAAAAAAATAAACTTCTTAAATAATTCATATAAAATAAATAAAAAAGAAACAATAAATTTTAGTAGAAATTTTAGAAAAGTAAGGAATAGAAACAGTAAGCTGCATATGTCATTATTTGAAAAGTATGATGAAAAATGTATTAAAGCTCTAATTATCGCTAGGGAGGTTGCAAAAAATGATGATGAAAATGAAATATTATTAAAACACCTTCTTATTGCAATAGTAAAGACTGATTCAGATTTGATTGAAAATGTTTTAAAATATTTTAATATTTCTCTTACAAAATTCTTAGATAAATTTAATAATATGGAAATAAGTAAGTTACAGAAAGAAAATAATAAAAAAGATGGATATAATGAAGCTATTTCTTACAATATATTGCAAAATAATACTAATGAAAATACAAAGAAAAAACACGTTATAGGGAATATGAATAGTTCTATAAAAGAGGAAGATATTGAAAATAAAGATGATCAAAATTTCAACAAAAAAATAAGTGATTTGATTATTAAACATATAAACGACATAGAACATAATATACAGCTATTAAAAAATTCAGATAAAGAAAAGAATAATATTTATACAACTGATATTAATGATAATAATGCTACTAATAGTGTTAATAATAATAGCACTAATAATGTTAATGATAGTAGTGTTGATGATATTAATAGTAATATTACTGATAATGTTAGTTATATTAGTACTGATAATGTTAATAATAGTAGTACTGATAATGTTAGTAATAGTAGTACTGATAATGTTAGTAATAGTAGTACTGATAATGTTAGTAATAGTGTTAGTGATAGTAGTACTGATCATGTTAATAGTAGTAGTAATTATAAATATGATATGAACTCAAGTGATGATAAAAGTCTAAATGGTAATAAAAAGGATGAAAAAAAAAAATCAGATAAAATAAATTCCAATATAAAATTTTCAGAAATTTGCAAATTAGTTCTTCAAAACGCAGTTATAGAAGCAAAGAAAAAAAAAAAAATTTTTGTTAATATTATTGATATATTATTATCCCTTATAAATGTTGCTGAAGAAAGAAATAATGATTTTTTAAAATATTTAAATGAGCTAAACATAAGTGTAAATGAATTTAAAAATCAATTAACAACTTATGATGAAATTAATGCTGTTGTCCCTTTTAATAAAAACATGAATGACATGAATATAAATACTCCAAACAATGAATATAATAATCAAAAAACACATAATATGAGTAATGATCAACCAAATCAAATAGTAAACGGAATAAACAATGAATATCTAAATCAGTCTAAGGATTATAAAAATAATGATGAAAATAATTTTGCACCAAACAATAAATTAATAAGCTCTTCTTTTATGAAGGACTGTTTAATTGATATGGTTCAATTAGCACAAGAAAAGGGAGATGAACATTTTTTTGGGAGAAAAAAGGAGATAAAAAGAATAATAGAAATATTAGGAAGAAAAAAAAAATCAAATCCATTATTAATTGGAGAAAGTGGTGTAGGAAAAACAGCAATAATTGAACATCTTTCTTATTTAATTTTAAAGAATAAGATACCTAATCATTTAAAAAATTGCCGAATTTTTCAATTAAATGTTGGTAATATAGTGGCTGGTACAAAATATAGAGGAGAGTTTGAAGAAAAAATGAAACATTTATTATTAAATATGAATAAAAAGAAGAAAAATATTTTATTTATTGATGAAATTCATGTTATTGTTGGTGCAGGAAGTGGGGAAGGATCATTAGATGCATCTAATTTGTTAAAACCTTTTCTTTCTTCAGATAATTTACAATGTATAGGAACTACAACTTTCCAAGAATTTTCTAAATATATTGAAAATGATAAAGCATTAAGAAGACGATTTAATTGCATTACTATAAATCCATTTTCACCTAAGGAAACATACCAATTATTAAAAAAAATAAAATATAATTATGAAAAGTATCATAACATTTATTACACTAATGAATCTTTGAAATCTATTGTTTTATTATCTGAGGATTATTTACCTACATTAAATCTTCCTGATAAAGCAATTGATATATTAGATGAAGCAGGAGCTTATCAAAAAATCAAATATGAAAAATATATGAAACAAAAATCAAAGGAGAAATTTTTGGAAAAATCGAAAATTTCCATGAAAAAAGATGAGAATGATATGAGAAAACAAAAAATAGAAAATAATAATAATAAAATAAATAAAGAAGGATACATTAAAGAAGAAAGTAATAATGAATTAATAAATAAAGAAGAAGAATTAGAAGAAAAAAATAATGATAAAATAAGCAAAATTGAAGATTTTAAAGAAGAAAAAAACGATGAAGCAATGAATTTGCTTGAAAATATGCACATGAAATATGTCACGTCAGATGTTATAGAAAATATAGTAAGTAAAAAATCTTCTATTTCGTTTATTAAAAAAAATAAAAAAGAAGAGGAAAAAATATCAAAGTTAAAAGAAAAATTAAATAAAATTATTATAGGACAAGAAAAAGTTATTGATATATTATCAAAATATTTATTTAAAGCGATTACAAATATTAAAGATCCTAATAAACCTATTGGTACCCTTTTATTATGTGGATCATCAGGAGTTGGTAAAACCTTATGTGCTCAAGTTATATCAAAATATTTGTTTAATGATGATAACTTAATTGTAATAAATATGAGTGAATATATTGATAAACATTCAGTTAGTAAATTATTTGGTAGTTATCCAGGTTATGTAGGCTATAAAGAAGGAGGAGAATTAACCGAAAGTGTAAAAAAAAAACCTTTTTCTATTATTCTTTTTGATGAAATTGAAAAGGCACATAGTGAAGTTTTACACGTTTTATTACAAATACTAGATAATGGTTTATTAACAGATTCCAAAGGAAATAAAATTTCTTTCAAGAATACATTTATTTTTATGACAACTAATATTGGTTCTGATATTATTACGGACTATTTTAAATTATATAATAAAAATTATTCAAATTTAGGATTCAAGTATTATATAAAGAATAAAACAAATGTAAACACAAATTCTTCAAATGAAGAAAATAAAAAATACAGTAAAAGAAGTACAAATGAACTTAATGAAGAAGAGAAAAAAAATAATAAAAGCTATATGAATAATTATATTGAAGATTTTGAAGAAAAATTACGAAGTAATAAGTGGTATGAAGAATTGGAACCAGAAATAGAAGATGAATTAAAAAAAAGATTTTTACCAGAATTTTTAAATAGAATAGACGAAAAAATTATATTTCGTCAATTTTTGAAAAGAGATATTATTAGTATATTAGAAAATATGATTGATGATTTAAAAAAGAGAATAAAAAAAAGAAAAAATTTAAACTTAATTATTGATAAAGATGTAATTAATTATATATGTAGCGATGAAAATAATATATATGATATGAACTTTGGTGCTAGATCTATTAGAAGAGCTTTATATAAATACATTGAAGACCCAATAGCTTCTTTTCTTATTTCTAATTTATATGAACCTAATGATTCGATTTCTTTAAACTTATCTAAAGATAAGAAAATATATGTCAAGTTATTAAAAACCTCAGTTAAACAACTTTCATAATATATTTATTAATTATAATAATTTAATATTTATTTTATGTATTCATATATTAATGAAGATATAAACATACTTTTAAAATATTATTATTTATTTCTTTATATTTTTAGTAAGTTTAATTAATTTTATTGTAATTTTCCATGATTTATTTTTTTTTTTAATTTTTAAAATAATTTATTTATAAAAAAAGTTATGTTAATAATATATATCTTTTATTTAATTGACAAATTTATTAATCCTCCTACTTTTATTGTTGAATTAAAATGTTTACGGTAATTTTTTTTTATTATATTTTGTTTGTTACATATACTTGAAATATATTTGTGCTCTTATTTTTTTTTTTTTTTTTTTTTTTTTTTTTTGTTATGAAACATTAATTTGTTTTTTTTATATTTTTCTCAGTTTTTATTTTTATAATTTTTAATACATATATTTAATAATTATTTTATTTTTTTCATTTAGAAATGAAACATTGTTACGATAATTAAAAAATAATATAAAACTGTTACCTATTTAAAATATTATATATGTTTTATGCATATTTATTTTTTTTTCTTTTTAAAAAATTAAATGAAAAACGCTAACATCACTTATTGTAAAAATTTTTTATTTAAAAAATAGGAAGCTGATTTTATTTTTTAATTACATATTTAAAATTTTTTTTTTTTTTTTTTTTTTTTTTATAGAATATATATATTATTAAATATTCAAGAATTTGAAAATACTTTCTAAAAATAACTGTATATATATAAGAATATTTAAGTAATAGATACAATTTATTTTAATTAGAAAAACTGATATTTAAAATGAGTGCTTAAATTGATTTATAAAAAATTTATGACGTTTTGGGATATAATTTCTTAAATGTCATGCATTTATTTTATATATTTTATATATATATATATATACATTTGTTATATTTCTCTTCAAAATGAGTGGAAAACTTGAAGATATAGGAGAATTAGTTTTATTAATTGGTGATTTTCATTCTCCTATTAGAAATTTAGGGTTACCTGATTGTTTCAAAGATCTTTTAAAAACAGACAAAATAAAACATGTGTTATGTACGGGAAATGTTGGATCTAGAGAAAATTTAGAGTTGCTTAAAAATATTGCTGATTCAGTTCATATAACTAAAGGAGATATGGATGATAACTATGATTTTCCAGAAGAGATATCTCTTAATATTGGAGATTTTAAGATATCATTAATTCATGGTCATCAAATTATTCCATGGGGAAATATGAACTCTCTTTTACAATGGCAGAAAAAATATGACAGTGATATAATTATTAGTGGTCATACACATAAAAATTCTATTGTTCAATATGAAGGAAAATATTTTATTAACCCTGGATCAGCTACCGGAGCTTTTCAACCATGGCTAGCTGAGACCGTTCCAAGTTTTATATTAATGGCTGTTGCAAAAAATTCTATTGTTGTATATGTTTATGAAGAAAAATATGGGAAAACAAATGTTGAGATGAGTGAACTTCGTAAGTAAAACCGACTATACAAAAATATACTAATGTAAACTTTTTATTCTTCTAAAGATTTATATATTTATTTTTTTTTTTTTTTTTTTATATATTTTCATGAATAATTAGATAATAAAGAAATGATAATTTTTTTTATTTATAAAATATATCTTTATATTTTGTACATCTTATAAGTACATATATTTTTTTTTGTTTTTATTAATATTAAAGCAAATATTTGTTGCTTATATATAAAAATATATATATATATATATATATATATATATAAACCCATAATATATATACTAAGTTATTTATTTGTATCGAAAAAAAAATACACAAATTTTTTGTACAAGTTGATGATTTTGATATTTCTATATATATGTATTAATATGAATATACCTATTATTATTCATCTTTATTACAAAATTAATGTTTTAATTACATGAAATGAATTAAAAGCTATAAAGGTAAATTACATTAAACATACTTAATGTAATTATTTTGAATATTTACATCTTTATAATAAGTTAAAATTTTAAATATTAATTGTGCTTTATATTTATCAATTATAACAAATTTTTTTTTTTTAATAACAAAAAATTAGTAAAAAAAAAAAAAAAAAAGGGTATATAGGATTAAAATAAAAATTACCATTTAAATTTAGTATGTTTTGTATTTTATTTTTTTATTTCTTCTTTTTTTTTTTTTTTATTCTTACTATTTGTTGTAAAAAAGAAAAAAAGGTAAATAATACGGTTTTCTAACAATATAATATATTAACGTAAAACTTTGAACAATTATTTAAATTTATTTACTACCATGTGTATTACTAGATATATTTATTTTTAAATTAGTTACTTGTAGAATATATATTAACAAATAAAGAGTTATCAATAGAAAAATAAATTAAATCATTACATAATATTACATTATTTCCTATTTCATTTTTATTATGTTCTGTTCCTTGTATTTTTTTTTTTTTTTTTTTTTTTTTATAATTTACTTTTTTTTCATTTATTTTTTTATAAATATAATTTAAAAAACAAAATTTAAACAATTTATGTAGACAAAATTATGCAGGGTAATATGCATTTTGATTTTGTTCTTGTGTATAAGGAGTATATCGTGAAAACTTCTCTACTTGTTGTTCTACATCATTTGTTAATTCTGTTTCATGTAATGCCGGTGATACGTGATTTACTTCTGGTTCAAAGTAATAAGACCATAAGGAAACAGCTGCCAAGGCTAACCACAACAATAAATTGGAAAAACTACCAGAGTTGCAAAATATCACAAATATTTCTGTAAAAAAAAAAATATATAAGGTATACAAAAAAAATTACATGAAATAATTAAAAAAAAAAAAAAAATAAAATATATAATCATGTAGTAATACATTAATTAAATATATATATATATATATATAAGTATTATGTAGAAATATAATTATCTACAATGAAATATAATTCATTATTTTAGACTTTACTATATTTAAATCAATACATAATTAAAAAATTAAACTTTATATATTTTATATATACATAACAAAAATTACGTTAGTATAAAGAAAATTTTCAAAAATAATAATAAAATATATTTTTTTTATATTCTTCTGATACCTGTCAATCCTGCAAATGCAAAAATAACACCATTTATATATGCATGTAAATCTCCAGCTCCTTCATCATGATAGACTTCTAATAAATATGCAGCTAAACCATATAATAAACATGAAAAGGCATGAACAAGACGAACAAAAATAAAAAATACCCATTCACTTCCTCCTTCATTAAAGTGAACATACCATTTTCTTGTATAAAATTTTGATATATATAAATAAAAAATAAATTGTAAAGTTGCACTTATGGTGTCTAAAAATGATGCTAATCTAAGAATTTTTGATCCAGCACGATATCCTCTTGCCCAACTAAAAAAAAAATTAAAAAAAAAAAATATACGATAAGAGAGAAATAAAATATATTAAAATAAAAAATTTCTATTTTTATTAAAATTATGCTTAATTATTTTTATAATTTTTTATGAGCTATATTAACACATAAATTTTTAAACTAATACACAATGAACTATTAATAAAAATAATGTTAACATAACACTGTTATTCAAAAAAAAAAATTTATTTTATTTTCGTGAAATAATAACAATATAAGCATATATATTTTTAGTCACTAAAACATTAGATATTTACAGAGATCATTTATTTATTTTATTTTATTTTATTTTTTTTTTTTTTTTGATATATAAATAATATTTTTGTTAATGAAATTTTTTTCATATTTTAATTTAAAAAATAAAATTATGAAATACAAACTAAAAGATTAAGCATTTACTTTTATTTATTTTATTTTTTTGTTGATACCATGTGTCATCTGCAAGAAGAACTTGAAAAGACATAATAAATATTGCTCCAATTAAATAAACGCCTGCCCAAAGTGTTATAGAATTTCTAAATGCTTGATCTAGGCGATATTCATCCTTCATATTCCTTAAATCATAGCTAAATAATCCTTTTCCTCCATTTGACCAATAAGCCATAAATAAAAATGTCAATGCTATGAATTCTAAAAAAAAACCTATTCTTAAGGTTGTTCCAAAAAACCCACTAATTTGAACACATGGTCCTCTATTTGTATGACAATTATCATCAAGGCCGTCTTGTCGCGTTGTAAACCACATATCGATTAAAAATAAAAATAATAAAACAATTAAAAAATATATATATATATATAATAAAATATAATAAAAATGAAAAATATATATTCAAAGAATTCAGTATAACAATTGAAAGTCCATTTAGAAGTTTTTCAATTGATTTTTATTTTATTTTGTTATTTCATATATTTTATTTTATTTTTTATTATTATTTTTTTTTTTTTTCGTAGGAACAATAAATCAATTATTAATTCTATGTTTAAATTTATCACAAAAAAAAAAAAAAAAAGAAAAAAAAATATGGAAATAATATAGTGTGTGAAATAAAAAAATTAATATTTATAAATCAAATACTGAATACATTTTTTTACATAAATAAAAGTGAATTATTATTTATGTAATCATATGTATAAATATACGTATGTACTACGGATTAAGAAAAAAAAAAAATAATTGAAAATTTAAAAAGTTGTGCAAAATTTTTTTTTAATAACAATGACAAAATGATATATTAAAATTAGAATTATATTTCACATGTATATAAATATATGAATTTTTCTTTAAAAACGTTGATGTAATTTAAATAAATGTGCGCTTAAATGAAAAGATATATTTATTAGCAAAAACTAAAAAGCATAATTAAATCTATAAATATAAATAAATCATATTTTTTAATTATATTCTAAACAATAATTTACAGTTGCACATCATAAAATATGTATAATAGTTATAACATAAAAGAACTTAAGAAAAAAAAGAAAAAAAAAAAAGAAATTTTCCAGAGATAAGTGGAAAAAAAAAGAGAGGATTATGTATAATATTAATATAGTAGATTAACATACTTTATTATTATCATTAATATACATAATAAGTTTTTTTTATTGATGATAAATTAAAAAATATTTACAAAAAGAAGAAAAAAAAAAAATTATTTGTGAACTATAAATTAACAGCAGGCATTGAAATCATAGAAATAATATATTTATAAAACTTAATCATACTTCTAAATATATAAATATTTGTTTAATTTAATTATGACATCAGTAATATATGAAAATATACCGCTCACGTTATTTTTATTTTATTTTGTTTTTTGTGTGTGTGTTATTAAAATAATTACATTTTCACGTGTGCGTATTTAAGTGCACACATTGATATGTATTTTTTTTTTCAATCGCATTTATTATAATTTTATAAATATTTAAAGCTTACAAATCCATTAATATTTTTTATATGTATTTTTGTTATTCTTTCTAAAATCTCTTCTTTTTATATTTTCTTATGATTAATTTTATGTTACTATCTTACATAGTATAAAATCGTTTTATAAAAAGAAAATTTTAAAAATAAAAAATATAAATATATATATGTAGAAAATAGTTACATTTAAATAATTTTTTGTGGAGTTATGTTTTTTCATAACAAAACTATTTACACTTTATATTTATTCTTAAATAGTTTAACATCCATATCTAGTTATGAGTTTTTTAATGAAGTCCAAGAATATATTTTTTTTTTTTTTATATAATTTCCAATATAAAGTATTAAGCACCTATAAGCACTACTGATATATCAACTAAAAAATTTTATGTATTGCAGGTGATGTTGTATTTTTTACATAAAAATTAATACATCATTTTAAGCTATTTTCTAAATATTATATCACCAAAACATAAAAAGAAAATACCTAAACCCTAAACAATTTTTTAGATAAGCACATCCAAAATGAAATTAAAAACAAAAAAAAGTATAAAAAGTATAATGCTAAAATTGAAAAAGATATAGATTTTAAGAACTTAATAAAGAAATTTTTTTTTATTCTATGGCCATATAGAAATATATCTTACTAATAAAAACTCTTAAACAACTATATGAAAAAAAGTAAGAAAAAAAAAAATATAGAATTAAATTATGAAATTTTTATTTCTCGTAATTGCAAATATTTCTTTTTTTTTTCATTAAGTGTAATATCATTAAAATTAGACAAATATTTACCATAAAAAAAAAAAATACACAAAACAAATGAGTTGATTTTTTTTAACTATAAAATATGTTATTTAATATGATAATTGCAAAAATTATCTCCTTTTTTTTTATTTTTTTGAAATAGCTTATATAAAATGAACCTTTATAATTTTTTAATCTATTTTTTTAATAAATATGCAAGGTACTTTTTATATTTTTCTTATATATATTTACTGTTCATATAAAATTTATATATATATATATAAAGGAATTTTGCTCAAATTTAGCATAACACTTTTTATATGTAATTTAATTAAATCTCGCATTTATATTAATGTCTTATAAACATTATTACATTAAAGTATATATAAAAAAATAACAGAATATTTTATTAATGTAAGATATATCATTTATCAATTTATTTTTTTTATTTTATTTGATTTAATTATCTATATTTAAATTATTCTATTTTTTTATTATTCAAAGTTTAATGATAAATACTATTATATTGGAAAATAAGAAAAAAAAAATAATAATATATTTACAATTTTTTTATACATTTTTTATCGAAAAGACATTTATTCTCCTAAATAAAACAAATATTTAGAAATATCCATAATATGCGTACCTCTTTATATTCACCACCTAATTTTTGGTAATACATTCATTGTAAAAATTAGATAATAAGAAATTTTTACTATTAAATATAGTAAAAATAAAAATAAATATATATTTTTAATATTTAATACACATTCAAAAAATAAACTTACCCTTAATGATTTTATAATATATATTTTTTTAATGCTTTTTTCTTATTTTAAAATTTCTATTTATTAATATTATTTAATTTTTTAGTTAATATCCTAAATATTAAAATTATCTTTTATTACTAAAAAAAATATTTTATATACATAAATGTATAATAATTCCAAAGTACATACACTAATTTCCTATTTTTAAAAATATATTTTTATTCTAGAGAATTTGTTAAATGTTTTATCATGTAATTATATTGTAAAATAATTATTTTAAAATACCTTCTAATTTATTATATCCTTAAAATATTTATATCATATTTATTATTTGTTAACTCACTTGGTGGAATAAAAGAAAAATAGAAAGGATTGTAAAATATATATACTCTTCTATTCATTATTCATTTTATTTTAGTATTAAATTATCCGTCTGTAATAAAGATTTTTTTTTTTATCCTTTCTTTTTTGTTTAAACAAAATTATTGAAATCTTTGTTCAACGTAATGTTTAATATAGTTCTTTATCTTGACATTTACCTTATTAAGTAAAAAAATGAAGTATCAATTAAAAATAATATATTTTTATAAAAAAAAAAAATATAAAATCATTATTATCATAAAAAGTAAATTTTAAATTCTTTTAAGAAAAAAAAAATTTTTCCATTTTAAAAAATAGTTCATATGCTTTTGTATTTTAATAGATATCATAATATTAAAAAAGGTTCAGAATTTAAAAAATTTCAATAAATTTAAATTAATAATGATATAAACATAAAAATAAAAAGAAATATGTATATTTACATATTCGTGAAAGTAGAAAATGGCTAAGATTAAAAATTATGAAAATTTTTAGTTATTATGAATATGTATAGATAATAAAAAAAAAAAAAAAAAAAAAAAAAAAAAAGTTAAAAAAGAAAATATAAAAAGTGAAAAAGTAAAATGAATTAAATATGAAGAAATAAATGTATTTTAATTTAATTTCATTTATTAAAATGTAGATATATTTCTTTTCTTTTCTTTTTTTATTTTTTTTCGTAGATGTATTGTAAACACTTTAAAAATGTAAAAATAAAGATACTATATGTATGCATATTTTAGTAGAAAAATATGAATTTGATAAAAATGGAAAAGTCTAAAAGATATATTAATTTAGTAAAAATAATTGAAAAAAATAAGTTCGAAAAGTATAGGCTTAAACAAATTTTAGATAATATATATAAGGCAAAAATTGTTAATATAAATAAAATGAAAAATATTCCAACTAGCTTAAGAAGAGAATTAAAAAATATATTCAATGAAAATATTTTAAGTTTAAAACCATTAAAAGAATATAAATATGATAGAGCGTATAAAGTGTTATTTGAGTGTAAAGATAAAGAAAAAATTGAGACTACATCTTTAGATTTTGGTTCTCATAAATCATTATGTATATCTAGTCAAATAGGATGTTCTTTTGCTTGTAAATTTTGTGCAACTGGGCAAATTGGAATAAAGAGACAACTAGAATTAGATGAAATAACAGATCAGCTCTTATATTTTCAGTCTAAAAATGTTAATATAAAAAATGTTTCTTTTATGGGTATGGGAGAGCCATTAGCTAATCCACATGTTTTTGATTCAATTCATTTCTTTAACCATTCTGATTTTTTTTCTTTATCAAATAGAAGAATAAATATTTCTACCGTTGGATTACTACCTGGTATTAAAAAATTAAATGAATTTTTTCCTCAAGTAAATTTGTCTTTTTCCTTACATTCTCCTTTTTCGGAAGAAAGAGACAGATTAGTTCCAATTAACAGAATGTTTCCATTTCATGAAGTTTTAGATTTGTTAGATGATAGAATAGCAAAAACGGGAAGACGTGTATGGATAAGTTATATTTTAATTAAAGACATAAATGATTCAAAAGATCATGCCGAAGCACTATGTGAACATATATGTAAAAGACCAAATAATATTAGATATTTATATAATGTTTGCTTAATTCCTTATAATAAAGGTATTATATTTCTATATGTATTTCTCATTTTATATGTTATTTCAAGTGTTTTTATAATATATAATACATATGTAGTATTATTTTTATATTTTTAATATCCATACGTATATATATTTATGTTGTATTTATTTAATAATTATTTTTTAGCAAAAAATGTAGATGAAAATTTCCAAAGATTAAATGAAGAAAACAGAATTTTACAATTTGAAGTACGAAAAATTAATTTTATATAATTTTTTTTTTTTTTTTTTTTTTGCAAATATATATAAAAGATTTCACTATTTTTATACAATAAATTTTTTTTATATATTTTTTATGTTATAATAACTTTTTCTTAATTTTTTTTTTTTTAGAAAATATTAAGAAAACATGGAATATCATTTTTTTACAGGTTTAATTATATAAATAAATAGGACAAAAATATATATATTTATTTATATTTATTTACTTGAATAAACTATATATACATAATAATATATTAAAATTCTTTTTTTCCTCTATAATTTATATACCTTTATTAATTTTTTTAAAAATGAATAAATAATATATAACATACATATAATTAATGGTATATTCTACTATGTTCATAAATAATTTGAGATTTATACTACTATATATATATATATATTATTTTTCCATGAGTTATATGTTTCCTTAACATATTTTAAAATTTTTTTTATATTTTTAGAAATTCTTTTGGTCATTCTATAGATGCTGCCTGTGGACAATTATATGCAGGTATTATATATACATTCATTGTTTATTACTTATTTTAAACTATAATTATAACAGATATTTTTTAGAATTAAGATAAAAAATATATTTAATTATATTTTTTATATTTTTTTTGTAGATTATGAACCAAAAATAAATAAAGAAAAAATTGGAACTAGAAATATTCCATTATTATAATAAGTTCACACTATTCTTTTCTATCATACATTGCATTTAACTTTTTTTTTTTTTTTTTTTTTAATATATATATATATAATTTATTTTTATCTAATATTTTATTTATTCTTCCATAAACTTCTTTAATTAAATTTGAATACATATATGTGTGTATACTCTTTTTTTTTTCTTTTTTTTTTTATTTAGTAACATTCTTATTATTTAATGAATCGCTTCATTTTAGATCTTCTCTATTTATTTTTATTTTTTTTTATTTTTCATTTAATAAAATTTGTTCTTTTTTTTTTTTTTTTTTTTTTTTTTTTTT